AAAGTTTCTACTGAGTTTCATATCAGTCTGCCCACTTTCTTTCCTAACTGCCTACAGATGTAGAGAGGTCTCTTCACCTGCTAGATGTTCGCAGAGCATTATCGTTCTATGTTTGCAGGACTGTTTTTTCCCCCGCAAGTCTAATCGCCTGCGCCCGGTGAACGCTCACTTTACCGGAACTTTGGCTACTTCTACAGCTTTTCCTCAAGGGTGTCCCGCTGTCAGACACCTGCACAGCTGCCATTTGGCCCACTCCGTCAGCCTTCATCTTTCACTATTGCCTGAATCTGCGGGCCAAGGAGGATGTCATTTTTGGACGCGCGGTCCTGTCTGCTGTTTTGCCGTGACGTCCCTCCTCCTATCAGAGGCAAGCTTGCTAATCACCCATTAGTGTGCATTCACAGAGGCCACGAAGAAGAAAGAAAGGTTACTTACCTGTAACTCTGGTTCTTCGAGTGGTCCTCTGTGAATTCACACGTTCCGCCCGTCCTCCCCTCTTTCCGTCACGGCTGTCTCACCTTAGAGCAGCAGCGGAATTTGGGGAACTGAGGTAACTGTTAGGGCGGGCGGACCATGAGGTCCTGGGGGGCGGAGCCAAAAGTGTTACTTTAAGCTCTAGAATATTCCGAGGCCTCTGCACAAGTGCAGATTTAACCCATTAGTGTGAATTCACAGAGGACCACTCGAAGAACCAGAGTTACAGGTAAGTAACCTTTCTTTACGATGTGTATACATTACAGGTAGAGAGTGAGCTAATGTGAGCCACTTTGGAACAGTTGGGCTTAATTAGAGTGTTCACATGGAAATTGGTACTGCTAATATCATGAAAGTGCTTAATAAGTGTGCCGATTCAGAATACTGGCAAATTAATAACTTCTTCTGCTTCTCAGCAAAGGGGCAGGGGAAGTGTTTTTTTAACTGTTATGGACTATCACTGATCTGCTGCATCAGTTATTTAAAAAAAATTAAAAAATACTTTCTTTGCCTTTTTTAAAGGTTGCAAAACTGCCTGCAGCTGAAGCCAGTACTGTAGATTTGATTGTGGGCAGTTTGTCAACCAGCCCTTTAAAATGAGGCAAATAATTTTTTAAAAAAAGTGATGCACCATATTAATAATAATCCATGTACAGTTTTTAAAAATCCCTGCCCCTTTGCTGAGGAGCAAAGGAAGTGATTAGTACACTGACATCCTAAAGTGTATTAAGCCACTTCTTCTTCGTGGCCTCTGTGAATCACAGCCTGGGTAATCCGCCTGCGTGGAGCCTCATCGGAAGATTATAGAGCTTCTGCGATACCCAAAAAAATCCATTAGTGTAGACCCCTCCCCCTCCATATATGTGCCTTGGTGCCAGGGCTGTCCTTTTAGTTTCTTTCAGCCGCCACATTGAGAGCCTCGTGTTTCTTGCTTCTGTGAATTAAAAGCAAGAGTTCAATCTTGATTCCTTTTATTTTTCTTTAAACCTTATTATTGTTTCTCTCTCTCTCTCTCTCTCTCTCTCTCCTCTTTTCGTTACGGCCTCAAGACCAAAGCCCCCTCCAATTTTTCCTTCATTTGTTCGTATTTTTGTGGCCCTTTTGGGCCCGTTCAAACATTGTGTGGTCTGTGACAATAAAATCCCACTTTCGGACGGCCACATTAAATGTTTATTTTGCCTCATCATGCCCTCACTGTAAGAACTTTAAACGCGGAGTTCTCCGCAGTTGCTTTTCTAGGCTTAAAGCGTGCTGCTTTAAGCTTCAGCTTTGGGAACAATCCCTTCATCCTGCAAAAGCTATGGCTCAGCCGTAATTATAAAAGTACCTCACAAGCTGAGGCGTGGCAAAACAACACCCTTTGGCCACGCTATCTTGTTCCGATGCCCCCTCAACACCATCTAAGCAGACGAAGGGGCAAAAAACTAAACAGTCAGTATCAAAGTCTTCGACATCGAAAATGACCACAAAAAGAAAGCCATCCATTGATGCCTCTTCAGCTCCAGATCCCTCACCATAAAAACTCTAGAATCTTCCGACAAGGCTCCGCACAGATCAGATTACCCAGGATGTGAATCACTGAGATCCACTTAAAGAACTACAGTGGGGTCTTGACTTGAGAACTTAATCTGTATTGGAAGGCGGTTCTCAAGTCAAAAAGTTCTCAGGTCAAATCTGCATTTCCCATAGGAATGCATTGAAAACCATTTGATCTGTATCTGCTCTTTTCCGTCCATAGACACTAATGGGAAGCTGCTATTCCGCCTTCGACGACTAGAGGGGGATATTTTGTTTCTTTTTTTCTTAGGTCAAGAAAGGTTCAGGGAAGGCAGGGAAAATACAGTCCAGGCAGTACAGTACCAGGCAGTCCGAAGATTGTCTCCCAAACCATTCTCTAAACGCTGGGAGGAGTGAGGAAGCAGACAGGCACCCTTTTCACTGGCCAACAGTTAAGTGAAAGTTCACATTTTGCACTTTCCCTGCCTCCCACGTGGTTTTTTTTCAGTTCTTAACTCAAATCTAAGTACTCAAGTCAAGTCAATATTTTCCTGTGAGAGTGGTTCTTAAGTCAAAAAGTTCTTAACTCAAGCTGTTCTTAAGTCAAGACCCCACTGTACAATTACAGCTGAGTAACCTGTCATTCACAATATCGGCAAATTCAAACTGGAACGCCTTGCTTTGAATTGGTTCCAGTTATCAGTTCTGTGAATTGCCTTATATGTGCCAGAACAGATCCAAACCAGAATGATCTATTTAGAAATGTACTGATAGTACTGCTCGGGGGGCGGGGGCTGGTTTGTTTCAACAAAGAAACAAACCTGATTGCTATCTTTAAGAGCGAACTAACCTGTTTCTGCACCAGACAAAGGTGGAGGGGGGCTCCATGTCCCAGCAAAGAAGGAGAGAGGACTGAAACATTGAGGAAGGATTTGTTTTCTTTCATGAGCTTCTGATGAGACTTCTAGGACTGATTGATTTCCATGCTTGTTTTAACTAGAGTTGTTGGGAAAAGGACCTTTGGCATTCAAAGATGCTTTTCTTGACAACTCCAGTTAAAGCTCCAGTCTTTCCCTTTAATAGACAATGAGAAGAAGAATCAAGACATTGAAAGAAAGGGGCAAAATAATCTTAAAATTGTAGTGAGGGTGGGCTGAGATGGATGGAGATTGAAGGTTAACATAGAAGGGACCGTGAGTCTCCTGGAGTCTCTGAACTCATCTGAACCCTTGCAGGTTGGCTCCCTCTGTCTGGTGCCCCATCACACTGACCGTCCTGTGGCAATAGCAACTGCAGAAGAGTTTGTCTACCTCATGAAGGCAGGTGAGCCAATCCAACTGCTGCATTCCATCTACGGCCAGCCAGTCACATGCCTGGATGTCTCGGTCAGTGAAGCCGCGTGTGGAGTCAAAGGCTTTGGTTGGTTGATCAATGAGACCAATAAGGTATGTAAGCCTTTTGGGTGGTCCCATAAGAATAACAATGCCTTCCTAGAACCTTTCGTTGGCTTTGGCTGAATGTATGAATCCTTCTTTGGTCACTCCCTTTCACCCTTTGGTACTTTTCCCTGCAAAGACAGCTTACCGGGTGATCGTTCCATCAAGATGTAGGGCAGGAGAAATTTGTTCTCTTACAGGTGACCAACTTTGCCTTTGCTGGTATCCATACAAAGTTATACTAAGGTCAGATGTTGGGGTTTTTTTGCCTAAAGTCATTACTGATTTCCAGCTGTCATTGCTTCCAGTTATGCTTCCATAATTTTTCCCATCTTGACACCTGTTGAAAAAGTGTGTGCTAGATGTGAGAACAGCCTCTTTCAGGCAGGCTCCTCAATGTTTCTTGGCAAAAAGGCACTGGAGCCAGTCCTGTAGGCATGGACCCCTTTAGTGTAAAACCATATATTACCATCCAGAGAAAAATCATTACAAGGAGAAAAACAATTATTCCCCACTTGCTCACGTACATAGGTTTTAGAGAGATCTCAAGAAACTGTCTTCAGAACTGAAATATTTCTTTACATTCCTGTTCCTCAGTGTTGCTAGATTTGTTTCCTTCTTAGGATCTCAGAAGGAATCAGGTATTTCTGTGCAACTGAAGGCCTTAGGGGTGGGGAACTGTTTACCTTTATATAACAGACAACTTTCCTTGTGAAGAGTGAGAGGAGAGCACTTGATTACAATTTACCGATTGTATACCTTCAAGAAGAATTTGGTAGCTTGAGAGACTTGTGATAAAATGGATGAAATGTGTGTTGTCTCTTTTGGCCATTGCTGTCTGTCTTAGACATCCAAAGAATTGTGCAACACTCCTTATATATTGTATAGGTGACAACTTGGTGTATTTTAAGGACATCAACAAGAAATTCAGTCACCATCTTCTGGGTGATTTGTTGGGATTTGTTTACAGATCTGCCCAAAATAGGTTTGTTGCTTACACAGTAGCAGTTGGTATGTGTGTGTGATAAAATGAAAAGTAATTCATATATCTTTGAACTGCCTTTGCATTTTGCAGGAACACAGGAAAAATGCACAGTATATATTATCTAGCATGATGGATCAGATAATGTTTCTTTTAAAAGGGAGGTAAATATTTCCTCCCTCGCATTTGAGGATGAGTTTGCCTTTTCCTTCTTCTGAAACTGATAAAACATTGGTACTGAATGTGCTCCTGCTGTATTGGAGAGTGGAAGGCATGTTTGCACATCTAGGCAATTTGCAAGTGAACAGTGTTTGGCCCTGGAGGATTCTCCATATTAGCACTTAAAGGTGCTAGAGGTGATCAAGATATTTTAGACATTTGAAAGCTTGATGGGGCATCTTGTAGAAACAGTAGGCAACACGACTATGATGTTCTATGTCAACAAGCAAAGTGGAACCTATTCCAATCACCTCTTAGACTTCGTTGATCCTCTTTGGGGGCTGGTACATTACACAAAACATTCATCCATTTCCTATAAGTCAGCAGTGCAATGTCACACACTCTCAACCAAAATGCAGTTTTGATTCATAAAAGAGTGCAGCCAGTAGAGGCTATACTGGATTTTAGGCATCCTTCAGTCTCAAGAGACTATGGTATCATGCTCTCCATGGAGGACTTGGAACAGCGTCTAGTGTGGCTGAGAAGGCCAATTCGAGAGCGACACTCCCTTCCACATTGAGGACAAATACAATCTGTACCCCGTCTAGCTCCCTGATTTTGCTGCTTTCGTGACTGCCTCTTTGCCTCGGCCTGCTTGGCAAGGGTCTCTTCAAATTGGGAGAGGATATTGTCTTGGCAATCCTCTATGCTTGGAAAAGCCCTATCACATACACATTTCCCCTATTCCCCTGATCGTTAGGATCATCATCAGATTTAGGAGGAAAATGCAGATTGCATTTTAGCGACACCTTGATGATCAAGCCAACTTTGATTTGCAGTTGTACGGATTCTTTTCAATAGGATTTTACTGTTGATTCCTACTTCACTCAGACCATCTGTGAAGGATGGTTGGATCTGTTAACTGTTCCTTGATACAATGAGACTCACTACCTAGTAATCCCCCTTTACTATTAATGTAGAAATTTCTTCCATGAGTAATATGACTAGAAAGAAGACAACAGGCTACCTGGTCTTACTTGTTTCAGCAAAATGTCATGGGAGCTGAAGCCAAATGACTGTAAAGAAGGACTTCTTCAGTTCCTGTTCTACCTGGGTCACTAGGGCCTCTCTCTCTTGTTGCCATGATCCTATCTTGTGGCAGTCTTCCTGGTTTATCTGCCTTTAGATTTAAAAGCTATATTCCAACAAGTTGCCCCCATTGCCTGCATTGCGCCTATAGGTCAGCAACTTCACACTCACAAGTATTTATGTCATTGCCTGCATGTGATCACTGGCTCCTGTTTTTTAAGGCAGGTTTCCTTGCAACAGTTGTGTCTGCTTGCACCTCTGTGCCTTATGTTTTGACATGCCATACCTAATACAGTGGTGCCTCAACTTACGAACGTCCCTGCTTGCGAACATTTCGACTTACAAACAGCTCCGGTCGCAACACTTTGCTTCAACTTGCGAACGGAGCTTCCACTTATGAACAGAAAGAGGCAGCGGAAAAAGGTGGGCAATTCAGATTTCTAACTGTAGGTTCCATTTTGGAACCGCCGATCAGCTGTTAAAAAATCATCGCTTTGCGATGATCGGTAAGCGAAACAGGGAACCGATCATCGCAAAGCAAAAAAAACGCATAGGAAACATCACTTTTGCGATCGCAAAAAGTTCGACGCTATGCGGTTTCATCGCTAAATGGAGCACCCATTAAGCGAGGCACCACTGTATTCTTGAATTTATAGGCACCCACACAAACAAACAAAATGGTTATAAGCAAGGTTCCCACTAAGCTGGGCATGCCTCCCTGCGTGCAGCTGTCTTCCTCCTCCTCTTTTATATTTTGATTTTTTTCTTTCTTTTCTCTTTCTTTTCTCTTTCCCCCTTCTCCCCCCATCTGCCTTCTCTCCTCCCTCCTTTTTTTCTTTTTTCTTTTACTTTTCCCCTCCCACTCTTCCTCCCTTCCTCTCCTTCCCCTTCCCTTCTTTGTCATGGAATGGAAGGCCTGCCCCTCCAGCGAGGGGCCCCAAAACATCTCTGTGATTACGGGTAGGGGGAGATATGGCGTTGGCACCGTCCCCGCTCGTGTTAGAAGAACGACAGACAGATGCTTAAAAGCTGTTCATTGTTCTGAGACGGTGACCAACCCCCAGTATCGAGGTAGCCAGACCAGTCACCCCTCAACTCTACACTTGGTGTTGTTGAATGCCAGGTCTGTATCCAATAAGGCCCAGGTAATTCAAGACCTTATCCTGGAGGAGGATGCAGACCTGGCATGCATAACCGAAACATGGATTGGCGGAGAGGGGGGTCCCCCCCTAGCACTCATCT